TAAAGGTGTATTCGTTTGCAAGGGCTGCCATAACCAAGTATCCAAGACCCAGTGGCTTACGCAACAGAAATTAGTTTTCTCACAGTTCCTGGAGGCTGACATTCAAATCAAAGTATTGGTTAGTTTGTTTCTTCCGTAACCTCTGTCCTTGGCTTGCCAATGGCCATCTTCATGTTCACACGGCATCCCCTCTCTATGCCTGTGTCCTAATCTCCTCTTCTTATATGGACACCACTCATAGTGGATTGGAGCTCATCCTAGACCTCATTTTAACTTAATTGCCTCTGTAAAGACCCTGCCTCCAAATACCAACACATTCTGAGGAACTAGGGACTATGCCTTCAGCATATGAATGGGGGAACACGCAATTGAGCTCACCACAGAAGAGATCCACAGAAAGGTGTCCTTGTGCCCTGTGCTTTCTGAGGAAGAAGTGTTCCCTTGAGATTCTCAGAGGTAAAGATGCAACTAAGTCATTTCTTCTGCTCCCTGGAAAACAAAATGAGATAGACATGTACCTCCTCGGACGAGCCACCTGACACCACTGAGCAGGGCGTAAGAGGTAACACTGAAGAGTTGGAGGGAGGAGAGATGAGAGAAGAGAAAATCAAGGAGCTTGAGTTGGTCTTTGCAGATGATTGGCGTCTCTGATAAGACCAGGCAGGGGATATTTAGAGTGTCCTGGAGGATCTGAGAATACCCAGACCACTAAATAAACCAGTGGGGATTGCACCAGCCTTGCTGAAAGGGCCTTGCTGAGTGGTCTGGAGGTGAAGCAATGGTGCCCGGAGAGTGAGTGCAGCTCTGGAGGGATTCGATGTCTCACAAAGACCAGGCAGGCCGCAGACACCACCACCTACTAGGCCACACGGGCTTTAGGAAATGTCATCACAGGACAGGGAGGCTGAGTGCAGGCAATTGCAGGACCTTGGGAAACTGTGGGCTTTTCTTGAGGGGCAGCTTCCTCAAAACACAGAGTCAGTGTTGCCCTTTCCTTTTAAGTGGCAACACTGACTATGTGTGTTGAGGAAGTTCTAGGCAGGCCAGTTATGCAGCAGTGGTTTTCTTGGATTCAGAAACAAGGGAAGACTCACCACTCCCCAGATGATAACTCTAGCTCTGCATGCTACAGGGACCTCAGCCCACACAGAACAAAAGCTCACTCTTTTGGAAGAAGTTGCCTTTTACTGCATAATATGTAAGGAGAAAAAGTATTTTAAGTCCCAGAAAATGAACCTAGGGAACCATTAGGGGAGGAAGAAGCTTGGCCTAGCCCTGCTGCATCCTGACTCTGTGCGTTCCCTGTTTGGTCAGCCTATTGCTGGGGTCTGGGGTGGTGATTAAATCACCTGCAATCAGAGGCCAATTCAGACCAGCATTGGGAAACTGTTTGGGGATGCCTAAAAGAGAAGACCTGACATAAACACACAGCAGATACCAGCACTGAGCTCTAGCTGGACCCTTGTCTCACTTCCTCACCACTTTCTCACTTTGTCACCATGTTTTCAAGATTTAGAAAGTCCTTTTAGATCTATCTTTGGCTTCATGAAAGGTTTTCTTCACAGTCATGTTTTATAAAATAAAAAGGAAGCTTGATCTCCCTGCCACACTTTCACTCCACTAATGGATTCTTTTTCTGATACCATATTATTTGCAAGCCATTAAGTCTCTGCAGACTTGGCTGACACTCAGAATATATCTCTAAGGAGAGTCACAGGGACTGGCAAAATCTTCAGTTTGCATATTTCACTATCTTCATTTGAGTTTCCTATTAGGTTTAATGATGAGGGGAATCTAGAACCACAACCTCATTTCTGATGAGGATACAACCAATAGACCTGTAGCCTGCAAAGCACCAGGGCCACCAAGTGCAGTTGCTCAGTTGTGCACTGCACAAAGATGCTGTTCAAAGGGACTGCTATTCACATCATAGACAACTTCACTGTTTTGAAATATGTTCTTCTTTGTTGTCTCCAAAGGTGGGCAGTCTGTATGTTTATTATAATAATGTTTAAGCACACAGCAATAAGACATCTTGCTTTAACAAAATCACTATATTATGATGGATGAATGTAAAGTGTCTAACGGGGTAGTTTCATATTGTTCTTCAACTTACAAATGATCAGCAGCATGGTACTTTGACATCATATTATTTTTATTGTGCTGTAGTTTACTTGTGCTTCCAAACAAGGAGTTGACTGATAATGGTGATTGGTGAGTATGTAAAAAAAATCCATCCCCTTTGTTATTAGAGCACTGCTGAATTTACTCTCCATCTTACAGTTTGTCACCTGATATTTGTTACTTCACCTAGATTATATTATTAAACTTTCAGCTTACGTCTATAGTACTTTCTATACTATACTATATATAGTGAGATGAATCATTGAAAAATAATGGATAATTTTTCGTTAATAATCCATTGAGTGTAACAGAGATATTTTTTAGAGATTATGTTAGTGTTTTAAAATGAGATGTTTCCAGAACTCAAAGGTACCTTTTTCTAATCTGGACAAAGCCATTTTACGTGCTGTCAGTGGTTCTCATAACCAAGAGCCTTAAACCAGACTGTCTTGATGCCATATGTGTGAAGGATGTCCTGTTCTTTACCTCCATCCCAGCCCCTTCCCTCCAGCTCCATTAAGGCAGGATTGGGAGCAGGGATCCAACCTCATGTGGTCTATAAACTCTCCAAAAGTGGTTACAAAAGTCTGGGCACATTGTGTGCTTTTACCTTTGTTTCAGGGCAACTGTCCATGAGGTTAATTGCATCTGTGCCTCGAAAAGAGCAAAAATCATTGTTTTAGGTTGCAGCAGTGGTTCTCAAACTTTATTGTGTATTGGAATCAGCTAGAGGACTTGTTAATCCACAGATTCTGAACGTGTCCTCAGGATTTCTAATCAGTAGACCTGGAGCAGAGCTCAAGAATCTGCATTTCTAATGAGTTCTCAGGGGATGCTGTTGTTGCTGGCCCAGGGAAGACATCTGGAGAACCACTGCTTTAGAATGTCAGCCGTGGCTGGGTACAGTGACTCACGCCAGTAATCCCAGCACTTTGGGAGGCCAAGACAAGTGGGTCTCTTGAGGTCAGGAGTTCAAGACCTGCCAGGCCAACATGATGGAACCCCACCTCTACTAAAAATATAAAAATTAACCAAGTGTGGTTGTGCATGCTTACCATCCCTGTTACTTGGGAGGCTGAAGTAGGAGGATGGCTTGAACCTGGGAGGCAGAGGTTGCTGTTGGCCGAGATTGCACCACTGCACTCCAGCTTAGGTGATAGAGCCAGACCCTGTCTCAAAAAAAAAGTGTCAGCAGTGCCTGTGATCAATACAGGCCTGCATGGGGCAGAACCCTGCACCTGCGGATACACTGGGTTTCTAGCCTCCTTACCAGCAGAGGGCAAGTCCACATTTATTCCAACCTGTGTCAACAGTCTCTTCCATCACAAGGTGGCAGCACCGGCACACAAATCTTGATACAGACACGGGGCCCAAAAATTTTAAATTCAACCAAAAAGCAAGATAGAAAAGCCACGTGAACTGCATTTATTCTACAAATTGGATGTAACCTAAGCCTGACAACTCATCAAAATGTTTATCTGTTAAGAACACTATCCATGCAAATCAGGTTTCAAGTCTAAACTAGACTGTGTGGCAGACGGGAATAAGAGCTGGGTGCTGTGTGGCCTGAGGCCTCTAGCCTGGCACCCCGGATAGGATTTCATACTTCTCTGTCTGGTGATTCAGAAATGTTCCTCTGTGGAAAGTCCTAGGCTGGATGCAGCAAAATTACCCGAGGTGCTTATTAAAAATACAGATTCCCTTTCCTCTCATAGCCCATTAGATTAAGTAGGTATAGGGTTAGGGTTAGGGTTAGGAACAGACAGTTATCTTTATCTTTTATTTATTTTTTTTTTTGAGATAGAGTCTCACTCTGTCACCCAGGCCAGAGTGCAGTGATACAATCTCAGCTCGCTGCAATCTCTGCCTCCCAGGTTCAAGCGATTCTCCTGCCTCAGCCTCCTGAGTAGCTGGGATTACAGACAGGTGCCCACCACCATGCCTGGCTAATTTTTGTCTTTTTAGTAGAGATGGGGTTTCACCATGTTGGCCAAGCTGGTCTCAAACTCCTGACCTCAAGTGATCTGCCCACCTTGGCCTCCCAAAGTGCTGACATTACAGGTGTGAGCCATGGTGCTGGCTGCAGTTATGTTCTTAACAGGTGCCCCAGTTGATTCTGAGGCCCAGCCCTGTTTTAGCTACCTGCATCTCTCTGTTTAATAAATATAAAACCAGTGCTTACCTATGAATATTTGGCTGTCTCTGCCTTTCACATAGTGGTTCTTTTTAGGTTCTGAACTCACAAAGCAGTTCCAAATGCAGAAAGAGCTACACTTTCCCATATGGCAGCTGCCAGCCACACATGGCTAGTGGCCACTTGAAATATCGCTGTTCTGCACTGATAATGTGCTGTCAGTGTTAAATAACACCAGATTTTGCAGACTTCATAGGGGAAAAATAATGCATAATATTTTATTCATAGCTTTTATACTAATTACATGTTGAAATGATTTTTAAAAAATATTAGGTTAAATAAAAAGATATTCTTAAAATTAATTTTACCTGCTTCATGTTTCTAATGTGACTACTAAAAACACTGAATTATGTATGTGGCTCATGATATATTTCTATTAGACAGCATTGGTTAGAGGATGTAAACAGCTTTGGCAAGAATGGAGGGGAAAGTGGAAATGGGAGAGGCAGAGCCTAACAGGGCTCAGGGGAAGAAGTCTTGACCGCATGGAATTCTAACCGCATTCCTCGACCCGGGCCTCACATCCTGGCAGCCAGGCCTGGAAGTGAAACATCCTTCAGCCTGCAGCCGCTGCAGTGCTTCAATAACACTTTATCCATGGGTGAGTTCCAACTTAGGCACAAGCCGGCTACAAATACCCAGGAAACACCCACTCTCCAAACAGGTTGAGCTCTGAGACAGACTGGATATTAGTCATTCGCCAGATCTCAGAGGGCCTTTCATATAGGAAAAAACGTGGTTCCTGCAGATGGTTGCTGGTAAGTGGGGTGTCCCCCAGGGCTTATTGAACCTGTGCCGTACGTGAAATCTCTACTTTTACAACAAAGGAAAACTTGACAGCTCATCATTAAACAAAACTGTATTTGTTTGTTCATTGCTTATTTAATGTAAGAATAAGAAAACATATGTTAAAATAGCTTCTCTGCAATACTATTACTGCGTTCCAAGAAAGGCAGGTTTATACTTAGCTGTGGTCCTCAGTGGTGTCCCCAGATCTGCAACATCTGGGAACAGCTAAGAAATGCGAATTCTCAGGCTCCAGCACAGACTTAAGAGATCAGAAACTCTATCTAGGGGTGGAGTCCAGCAATCTGGACTGTGACCAGTCCTCCCCTCTTCTCTCCCCCCTCCCCTCCCCTCCCTCCCTCCCTCCACTCTCTCCCGTCTGCTGTGTTAGGAAGCTATGCGGTCAGCCAGTCAAAAAGAGCAGATTTCAGAGTCAGGAGTCCCAAGGTTCACAGTTGAGCTCCATTCCCTACTGGGTGACTGGGAGTAGTTTCTAAACTTCTCTGATCCTGTTCTGCCATCTGAGGAATGGGGAAAACAATATCTCCTGTGTACGACTATTATTAGGAATTGGTGAGCTAATGTGTGGAAAAGGCTGTACCTGGTTTTTGGCACAAAGAAACAGATTATTATCAGTTACATGAAGGTGAGGCATCCAAAATGCTAGGAGAAAAACCTGAGCCTTTGCATGGTATCGCTGTGTCCATCGTTATCTTATCTACGCCCACAGCATGCTCCCTTTTTTTCACAGAAATTACCTATTTTCCATGATTAGTCAGTGAATCTACAACAATTTTATCTAATCTCATTCTTGCTTATGGACTCATTAAAGTGTTATCAGTCTTACGGAATTATTTCAAACCCCGTGAGCTCCTCCAAATAATGTTTGAGGGTTCCAACTTTCCCTGTCCCCTCACAATACAGCCTCAGAGGCTGATTTGATCAAGTGAAACCAGTGTGCCTCCTACTTCATTCTCCCGGGTTTGCTGCTTTGCTAAGGACCTCTCACAAAATGCATACTGCTTTTTTTTAAATTTTAGCCTTCATGTTGTATACCAGATAGCTAGACTGTTCTGTATATTCTGACCTACATCTGCATACTGCCTTAATAGAATGGATGTTTGCAGACGTGACTGTGATATTGGAATATGGAAGGATCAGTCCAGGGTCAGGAAGCAGCAGGTTGGCTTCATTCTCAGTGTTTTCTTTCCTGGGTCTTTGAAGCACCGGTGTTGCAGGGAAAAGGTTGTGCATCAGGAAGTGTCATTTAAAAAGGACCTGAGCTGGGCTGAGATATCAGCCAACACACGCCATGGCTGTGACCCCCACACCCCACCATACACTACTAGTCAGGGCAGCAACCCTGATCGTCCAACAAGCAGCAGAGCTGCCCAGCAGCAACCACATTAGGAAGGAATCAGAAACCAAGGCTCCCCTGGCTGTCACCCCATACCCACTTGCTGTCACGTAGAGTACTTGTTTATTAGTAATGATCTACTTTCAGTATCCTGCATCTGGTGGTGAACATTGGTGCTAGGACTTTTTAGCCTATAGGGCTCTCTGCTGAGCACTAAAACTATGAACTTCCCTTTGGAAGAGGCAGAAAATGCACTTCCTGGGTCCTCACTGCCAGCTCTGACAGGCTGAACTGCAGTTGGAGAAGGAAGCTGAGGACTGGGCTCCCTTCCTGTCTCCTAAGCCAGGGCAGGGCTGGGCTTCGGGTGATGGCGGGAGAGAGGGAAGCAGGTAAATGCCTTGGAGAGGGCTGAGGGGGGCACATTCCCTCTTCCTGGGACATTCCAGGTGTGACAGAGGTGCTTAGGCACAGAAGCCCTGCTGCTTGGACCAGCCAGGATGCTCATAGCTGAGTCCACCCCTTCCCAGGGCATGGACCGTGGGGAGTGTCTATTCAGAACCATCTAGAAGAGTTCAGAGCCTTTCAAACTTCTTTTCAAATGCGTTTCTGACTGAGGAGACAGCTCGAAGCTGCCTGTCGGGCTTAGAATCACTGTTAATTAATTAATTAATTAATCACTAGTTAATTTTTACTGTTGAGGGCTAGCTTTGAGTCAGATCCTTTTACCTCATCAAAAAGGGTGTCAGCACACAAGCTCTCCGAATTACTAGCTTGACTTTCTGCTCAGGGTGACTGTGGTAAAGAGGTTACAGCCCACAGGCAAATCCCAGTAGTTGGCCTTGGCCTGGAGCCACACCACAGAAGCCATCTCCCAGTGGGTGTGAAAGGAGTGTGGGGACAAGGCATCAATGTCTGCCCAAGGCAAAACAGGGCGAACAATAGCCTGCCTGTGGCACCCTCCCACCTGTCTTGTAGAGCAGTAACTCTTCATTTTCTCAGCCTCTGCATGGGAAGGCTCATTTAGGCTCCTTAGTTCACCCACACCTTGCTATGACAAACACAAAATGATAACTCACAATATATGGAGCTCTTACTATGTGAGAAGCACTGTATCAAGTGTTTTCCACATATCATCTGTGCTCTTCACAACAGCTCCTCAAGGAACACATGAGAATGGTCCCCTTGCAGGGAACTGCAGGGATTCAAGGAGGCTAAGCTACCCTTTAAGGTAAAATTGGCCAGGTCGGGATTTGAACCCAAGCCATCCTGACTCAACAGCTAGTGCTGTTTCCCTGACACCATACCATCTACCATTCCCAGACTTCTCAGTATTAGTCTATGTCTGGTTTCTGCGATATCATAAAATAAACATTATTAAATCATGAAGATGCAAAGAACGTGAGCCATGGGCATCACTAGGTAAATGACTGAATGGAGCGGAGCTTCTGTCAGCTGCCTCTCATCCGAAGACCCAGCACCTCCAAAACGCAGACCTCCAGGACACTGCTACCTCAGAGACATCTCCAGGCTCTGCCCACAGCCACTCACCCACTGCCTGACCTTGCCGGCCCCTGGAATTAAGCCACGAGTGGCTTCCTGTCTCCTGATAACGTCTACCCAGAACTCAGACTTCGGTTTCCCTTTGTGCCTAGACCACAGCCTGAGGCAGCCAAACCCATTTCCTTGGGGATCCAGCCCAAACCAGAGAGTGTGGACAGGCAGATGGAAGAACATTGACCTAGCTTCAAGAATGGGCTGTTCTAAGTCATAAATACTGTAGGAAGCAGCTCTAAGGACCACAGGGCTAGAGGGTGCACTGGAAGGGGCCAGGGCACACAGGATGGCTTTATTTTCAAATTTGTGCATCAAGGCTCTACCCATTTTTCTCCCTCTGAAATTAAGAAAATGGAAATAAGACACTCCTAGGTGTGCATCATAGCATGACCTAGCTTTTTTTTCAAATGATCTTTAGATTCAAGGATGATTCGGAGGAAGTGGAGATGCTGATTATTTTGTTAAACAATTCCTGCCTGTTTAGAAACCACACAGAGACAGCCCATGAAGTGGGAGAATGACTAATTGATGTGGCTAAAATCAGCTCCCTTCAGCACTGGACTCCCAGGGGTCTTTCTCACAAGGGCCAATTATGCAAATTGCTGAAGCCGTCTCCCCCCCACACACACCCCATGGCAGGAAAAGAGAAACTGTTTCTCTTCCTTGTAACTGTTTGGTCTGGCTGACTTCTGGATCCTGAGTAAGGCCTACAGGTCACTTTCCCCTGGGGTATGCCTGTGGGCAGCAGACAGACCAAGCTGTTTCTCCTCTACCTGTCTACACCTGTTCTCTGCCTGCTAGCACCCAGAGCTCTCCTCCACCTCCAGCAGTGGCTGCTGTTTCCCAGTCTCCGCGGCTGCCCCTCCCCAGCCTCTTCACACTGAAGGGCCAGCGTGCAGTCCTCTACCCTCTTCTTTCTCTTCCTCCCTTGGTAACTTCATTCAGTCTCTTGGCCTTCAAGAGCACCTGCCTCCGAGGATCCCTGCCCAGACCTCTTTTCTGCACCCCGCCCACAGTTCGAAGTCCTGATGCGTCCTCTCCGCCTTCCTGCCCAACAGCCTCCTCTAACATCCTAGGTCTAATGTGAAGGGCTGGGTCTTCCCCCAAACAATTCCATGGGAACCTTTCTCCAGGTTTCTGTCTCAGTGTTCTATCTCAGGTGCAGGGAACAGCAGCTCTATCCTCCCAGGTGCTCCAGGCAAACACTATGGAGTAGTCTTTGACCTTGGTACCTTTCCTCTGATGCCCAACCTACCATCTATTGGGACATCTGTTAGCTTCAAAATATATCCAGAACCAAACTTTTTCTCAATCCCTCCATCTCTACTGGCCTCCTCATTTCACTCAAAGTAAAAGCCTAAGACTCCCGAATGGTCTAGAAGGCACTTCCAGGCACTTCCTCTCTGGCCTCACCTACTATTCTTCTCCTCCTTCTAACTGCTCCAGCCATGCTGGCCGCCTGGCTGTTCCCCAGACACACCAGGCACCTCCTCCGACCTCAGGACCTTGGTGCTGGCTATTCCCACCTCCTCAGGACTTTGGTCAAGTATCACCTGCCTGGTGAGCCCTGCCTGGTCACCTCCAGGACCCAGGACCCAGAGTGAGTAAGCCCTAGTTTCCCAAGCCTGTACCCTCAATTTCTTGCCTGCGATACGAATTCCTAACACTTAACACCTTCTTTTTTTAGATGGAGTCTCTCTCTGTCACCCAGGCTGGAGTACAGTGGTGTGATCTCGGCTCACTGCAGCCTCCGCCTACCAGGTTCAAGTGATTCTTCTGCCTCAACCTCCCAAGTAGCTGGGACCACAGGCGCCCACCACCACACCCAGCTAATTTTCATATTTTAAGTAGAGACGGGGTTTCACCATATTGGCCAGGCTGGTCTTGAACTCCTGACCTTGTGATCCGCCTGCCTCGGCCTCCAAAAGTGCTGGGATTACAGGCATGAACCACCATGCCCAGCCAACACGTATCACCTTCTAACATACTTGGTAATTTACTTATTTATAATACTTATTATTTATTGCCTGTCTCACTCACAAGAATGTAAACTCCATGAGAGAAAGAATTTTCCCCCCATTTTGTTCACTACATATCCCAAAGGACTAGAACAGTTTCTAGGCACACAGCAGGCCCTTGGTGGATATTTACTGAATGAATGAATGAACACTACATGAAGTCTTGCTGTTTCGTCTGACTGACACCTGGACCCTGAGAAAGGCACAGATGTAGCTTTCACTTGGGGTGTGCCTGTTCCTGTGGAATCTTAATAGGGGAAAACACCATCCTGGGATTCCTCCTGGGGGAAGCCACTAGCATACTGCTGAAATTTTTTTTTAATCGTAATTTAATTTTTATTTTCATGAATACAAAATAGTTGTGCATATTTCTGGGGTATATGTGATACTTTGATACAACCATACAAAGTATAATGATCAGACCACAGTGGCTGAGGTATCCAGCACCTCAAGCATTTATTATTTGCTTGTTTAGAAGCATTCCAATGCCATTCTTATTGTTATTTTGAAATACACAATAAATTATTATTAACTATTGTGCACCAAGGTCTTATTCCTTCATCTAACTATACTTTTGTACCAATTAACCAATCTCTCCTTATCTCCTCTCCCCACTACCATTCCCAGCCCCTCATAGCCATCATTCTACTCTCTACCTCCATGAGATCAAGATTTTTAGCTTCCATGATACGAGCAATAATGTGATATTTCTCTCACTGTGCCTGGCTTATTTCACTTAACATAGTGCCCTCCAGTTCCATTTACATTGCTGCAAATGACGGGATTTCATTTTTTATGGCTGAATAATATTCCCTTCTGTATATCTGCCACATTTTCTTTGTCTATTCATCCATCAACGAACACATAAGTTGATTCAATATCTTGGCTATTGTGAACAGTGCTGCAATAAACATGGGAATGCAAATATCTCTTTGATATACTGATTTCCCTTCTTTTGGATATATACACAGCAATGGGATTGCTGGATGATACAGTAACTCTGTTTTAAGTTTTGTGAGAAATCTCCATACGGTTCTTCTCCATAGTGGTTGTACTAATTTCCATTCCCACCAACAATGTTCAAGTGCTCCCCTTTTTCTTCGTTCTCACCAGTATCTGTTATTTTCTCTCTTTTTGATAACAGCTATTTTAATTGGTATAAGATGATATCTCACCATGGTTTTGATTTGCACTTCTCTGATGATTAGTGATGTTATGCATTTTTCCATATACTTGTTGGCCATTTGCATGTCTTCCTTTGAGACATATCTATTCAGATCCTTTGCCTATTTGTAAATTGGATTTTTTGTTGGTATTGAGTTGTTTGAGCTCCTTAAATATTCTAATTATTAATCCCTGGTCAAATAAATAGTTTGCAAATATTTTCTTGGTTCTGTAAGTTGTCTCTTGATCCTGTTGATTGTTTCCCTTGCTTTGCAGAAGCTTTTTAGCTTGCTGTAATCCATTTGTCCTTTTCTTGCTTTAGTTGCCTATGTGTTTGCATCTTACTCAAGAAATCTGTGCCCAGACCAGTGTCCTGGAGAGCTTTCCCAATGTTTTCTTCTAGGAATTTCATAGTTTCAGTTCTTCAATTTAAGTCTTTAATCCACTTTGATTTGAATTGTGTATATGGTAAGAGATAGGGGTCTAGTTTCATTATTCTGCATGTAGATATCAGTTTTCCCAGCACGATTTATTGAAGAAACTGTCCTTCCCCATTATATGTTCTTGGCATCTTTGCTGCTGACCCTTTTTCAAACACAACCAAAGCCATCTTATCCATGTGTCCACGAGTTCAATTGCTATAGAAACAGCTCTATGTATTTGAAATGAAGCTGAAAAAAGGTATAAGAAATTCATTTCTGCCAGCTTGAATATCCAGCTCATCACACTCAGGGACTTCTCCTAACCTACCTTGCCAAGAGCCGCACACCCACTTTAAGAACAAGAGACCCTACGAGAACCCTGGAGATAGACATATCTGGTCACTGATTCTCCTTGGCCCTCAGGACCATGAACTGACCTCAATTCTCTCCAATTCCACTGCCTTGCAAACATTTTGTTGTTGTTGCATCTACTTCCCACACTGGTGTGAATACAGTATTCAAACTGTTAGTTTGAATCTGTTTTTGAGACAGACTCTTATTCTGTCACCCAGAATGAAGTGCAGTGGTATGATCATGGCTTGCTGCAGGATCGACCTCTCCTGGCTCAGGTATCCTCCCATCTCAGTTCCCCAAGGAGCTGTAAACTACAGGCATGCCACCACACCCAGCGAACTGTTTTTGTTTTTGATAGAAACGGGGTCTTGCCGTGTTTCCCCAGCTGGTCTTGAGCTCCTGAGCTCAAGTCATCCACCCGCCTTGACCTCTGAAAGTGCTGAGATTACAGGCATGAGCCACCACGCCTGGTCTATCACAAATCTCTTAATCTCTCTGTGCCCCAGTTTCTTCATCTGTGAAATGAAGATTTTTATAGTAGTACCCAGCTCACAGGCTTGTGGTGAAGATTGACTTAGTTGACGGTACAAAGTGCTTAAAACAGTGCAGGGCATACAGTAAGTGCTCAGTAAGTGTTAGCTATTATTAGTAATATTGCTACTATCATTACTATTAATGTTAATTACTATTAATGTTAAACAGAGTAACTGATTTGGATTTTTATTCCCAGCACTTAGTGTAGTACCTGGGATACAGAAAGTGCCCAGGAAAAGTTTGCTAGATGGATGAATAAATAAAAAAATGAGGATGAGTGATTTATTTTATTGTTAATTCTACTTTAAGTTCTAGGGTACATGTACAGATCATGCAGTTTTGTTATATAGGTATACATTTGCCTTGGTGGTAGTTTGCTGCATCTATCGCCCTGTCATCTACATTAGGTATTTCTCCTAATGCTATCCCTCCCCAATCCCCCCACCCCCTGCTATCCCTCCCCTAGCCCCTACCCACACCCCCGAGGCCCCAGTGTGTGATGTTCCCCTCCCTGTGTCCATGTGTTCTCATTATTTAACACCCACTTATGAGTGAGAACATGCGGTGTTTGGTTTTCTGTTCTTGTGTCAGTTTGCTGACAATGATGGTTTCCAGTATCACCCATGTCCCTGCAAAGCGCATGAACTCAAGGATGAGCAATTTCAATGCAGGGGCTGAATGCTTTCATCTCTGTTTAGCACAAACCTAGTCCCTAAATTTAAAAATTAATGTTGAATTTTGAATCAGTGGCACACAGGAAAGTTTCTGCATTTATCTTGTACAGTACAGAAAACTTCAGAGGAACATAAAAAAAACAAAATTAGTGATAGCATTGAAGGAGTGGGGATGGTGCCTAAGAAACTCTGGGAGATGGAGAGACCAGGTTGTGACTTTGGGAACAATTTTTAACTCCTCTGGGTTTCTATGTTTTCCTTTATCAAATGTAGCTAAGATGAGTCTCTGGATCCTAAGAAGACTAAATCAGACAGTGCTTTCAAAGTGCTCAGTTCTAGACCTGGCACCTGGTAAGTGCCCATTCAGTAAGTGCTGGCTTTAAAACCATGCATCAAGTACAGCTGACACATGCCCCTCTGCCCACCAGGCTGCAGGGCTTGACCACAAGGTGAGGGGTCCTGCTTTATGGAACAATAGCCAACCACCCAGGGGCCCATCTTTCTACCTCATCTTTCTAAATATCTTAACCAGAGGCTTCTCTTTCTTGTCCCCTCTTAACCATGACCCAGGGACAATCTAAAAAGTTCCTGCTCCTGTAACCAGAACTTGTCTAATTGTCATGTGCAAGGTATTTCTCCAAAACTTTTCTAAGAAGTACAGACAAGTTGTCCCCCTTCTGCAGACTTCACAATGAAACTGGGCATTTTTCCCTGGTTTCCTCGCCCCCAACTTCCTCCCTTGGACACTCTCCAAGTCTACGCAGCTGACTGTGTCTTGGAAAGGAGACTTGGAGCATGACGAATTGAGCACTCCGTCATAGATGACATTCATCTCTATGCTTGCTCAATATAAACCAAACTCTTGCCTTAGTTGGTTTAAATCCAGAAAATATCCAGCAGTTTATAACTTATCTCTGCCCATTCTGCGAGGCCTGTATGATTAATCTTTTTTTATGTCTTTTTTTTTTTTTGGAGACAGAGCTTACTCTGCCAGCCAGGCTGAAGTACAGTGGTGCGATCTTAGCTCACTATAACCTCTGCCCCCTCGAGTACAAGTGACTCTCATGTCTCAGCCTCCCGAGTAGCTGGGATTTCAGGCACCCACCACCACACCTGGCTAATTTTTGTAGTTTTAGTAGAGACAGTTTTCGCCATGTTGGCTGGCCTGGTCTCAAACTCCTGGCTTCAGGTGATATGCTGGCCTTCGTCTCACAAAGTGCTGGGACTACAGGTGTAAGCCACCACACCCGGCCTAAAATGTCATATATTTTGAACTGATTGACTTCTCCAAAAACTTATGGTTACTAGTTCAGAGAGGAAACTTGAGAGAAAGTTTCCCCACACTTAGATGAGAGGAAAGCAGTACAGCCTGCATCTCTGGTACTGGGGAGTATCAAACAAGGGGAATTGGGAGAAGGATGGAGGCAGAGGTGCAGCTCTTTGTCTTTCATGATTAAAATGAGATGCCGCTTTACATTACAAATCTAAGGAATCAGAAGAACAGCAAACCAAGCAACGAAGTTTGTTCTCCTCACATAAACTTTAAAAATCCAGCTTAAAAGTTCTCAAGCTTAAAATTTGAAAAATGAAAACAAATGCATGACATGACAGAGGGGATAATTCCTACATTTTTGGAAATGTTCTCATGTTTTCTCCATTTCCTCCTATGATTGAAAATGTCATCAAAAGGGAATACTGCTATTCGCAGAGTGCTCATCACCATAGTAACCACTGAGCATCTCTACCGTTTAGTACCTTCATTTTAATTATAATAAATGAGTTACAAATCTGTATCCGGGGTCCCAGTTATATATTTGCCATATGTTCACACACACACACACACACACACACACACACACACACACACATACACACACACACACACACGGTGACTAAGACTAAGAGTAAGCCTAAAAGAATGATTTGGAGCAGGAGTTGACGGAGGGAATGGTAGGAAAATAACAGGGATTCACTCAGTCTCATTTTCTACTAAATTTCAATAATGAGAACTATGCTCAGCAAATGTTTTTTGACTATATGAATAAAGAAAATGATGCATTTAATCAGAACTACATATTTAAATCTGGTGGTAGTGTGTACAATATTAGAGGAAGGGAATGCAGGCAACAAAAAGAAGGCTTCTGCCATGATCCATGACACTGACATTGCTATTCTGTGCAAAGTTGCTCACACTTTGACATTCATGCTCATTTTTAATTCCCCAAAACAAGCAACTGAATTTTCAACTTCCTTTTATTACCATAAAATATATGCAACAGATACCCTCACTCATCCCCCAATTAGCTTAACCTGGTGCCTACCCCACAGCCCATCCCAGACTCACCCCAACCCTCCTTAGACTTCTCTGTCTCCTTTACCAGATCCTTCCAAGTATTCAAACAGTGTCATCTAGTGTCCTGACATGGGTCCCCAATGGACTGACCCAGGGTGGAAAGGAGGAGTGAGAAGAAATCAGAAGGAAGAATTCAGGAGATGTGGCAACAGATTGGATGTAGCAGAAGGGACTAGAGAGTGGCTAAATATGACTCTTTGGTCAGCATGTGATTAAAAGGATGACGACATTGGGGAACTGGGGAGCAAAGCGGATGTGGACTCAGGAGGAAAAGGGCAAGTTTGGACTGGGGCATGCTGAAGTCAGCAGCAATATCAAAGTCCTGAGCAGCCTCATGTTGCTGGTTCCAGACAGCGGAGATGGTACAGGATGCATGGAAGAGAGACACAACAAGGTTGGGTCAGGAGCCAAAGAGGAAGTGCCCGAGAAGGAGATCCCCAAATGAGGCCTGTGTCCAGGAGGTCATTAGAAGACTGGCTTCCACGTATGCCAGGCCATACTCTACCTGGATTCCCAGCATTGAGAAGACCAAACATTTCTACACATGTATTACTGAAGCCCCCTGCAATCTGAAGGCGGAGGACGTGACCAATCTCATAAGCCATGTGTGGCTGAGGCAGTTGTCAGAGCTGTGATGAGGGAAATGCTCATTATTCTTCTATCCTTCACTTAGCCAAATAAAAAACTTCTTAGAATTCTTCCCCTATGACAAAATGGAACTGTGATTTTGGAAAGTCGCAGGCAAGTTTGCTAGGACTGCTGAAACTAAGCACCGCAGACTGGATGGCTTCGAGACTGAGTAGCTTCAACAGAAAGTTATTATTGCTCAATTCGGGAAGCCAAAAGTCCAAAATCAAGGTACTTGAGGGTTAGTTTGATCAGAGGGCTGCAAGGGAAGGCTCTGTTCTAGACCTCTCTCCTAGGCTTGGAGGCCTTGGTGCTGATATTCACAGGGCATCCTTCCTGTGCCTTCACATCGTCTTCTCTCTGAGTGTATCTACAGGTCCAAATTTCCCTATTTTAAAATCCTATTGGGTTGCGCCCCCACTCACTTTAACTTGATCACCTCTGTAAAGACTTTATCGCCAAATAAGATCACATTCTAGGTACTGAGGGTTAGGACCTCAATATCTGAATTCAGGATGGGTGGGTGCACAATTCATTCCATAACAATAAGAGGGAAAGAATAAGTGCACAAGGAATCACACGCTTGGGGAGAGTTCAAAGTGTGCAGAGCTGGCGGTCACTGCCTAGCCTCAGGACTTCGGAAATCCCCTGAATCTGGTTTTTCCAGTTCTCGTAATCTCATCTCACCAAAATATGGCATCTCAATACATTCCATGCATTTCTGGTGACAGCTCATTCTGCTGCATGCTAAGCAATGTGCTAACTACGTCTTAACTAGGGTGGTTTAACTGGTTTGGTTAACAGATCTTGGAGGCATTTCACCCATTCCATAAGCCTAAACAAATCTAATCCAGGTGTTTAAGACACTGCACAACATTAGACTGTTTGAAGCTCCATCTTCCTGGGGCAATCTAGGTTGGTGATAAAAGTGGCTGGTGACTGTTCTCATTCTTGTCACCATAACGTAACCCTATGCCAACCTGGTGTGAGGGACACTACTAAGTAAGGCAGAGTTTGCACTCAGGATAGATAACTATGGACTCATGCACAGATTCCAGCTGAGTGCCTCCCACGTGCTAGGTACTATGCCCAGTCCCCTGGAATTCACCTGTAAGCAGGACAGTCTTTTGGATGAGAGAGGAAATTCTCATATATCCACAGGCAGATGGAATTTCCAAGTGGAAAGCCCTAGAGGTTCAGAAACAAGGATACTGAAGTTTTTGCTTTCAGTCAGAATCTTTGCTTATAGTTGTGCAAATATTTGTACTGGTGGGTTTCCATGCCATACAACGTGCTAAGTATTTTTACATTACCCTTGCACATAAGCTTGATACAGTATTGGGAAGGAAAATGAAGAGGGTAGAGGTGGTAACAAACTCAAGCTAAAGAAATGGGATTTCAATGGGTACAAAGTCCAGAGAATTAGCTTGAGGAAAATGAACCAGAATTCACACAGGAGTTTTCAAACATCTCAGTATCAGGACGCCTTTATCCTCTTAAAACTTCGTGAGGCACGTATGTTTATCGCAGCACTGTTCACAATAACAAAGACTTGGAACCAACCCAAATGCCCATCAATGATAGACTAGATATAGAAAATGTGACACACATATACCATGGAATACTTAGCAGCTATAAAAAAGGATGAATTCATGTCCTTTTCAGGGACATGGATGAAGCTGGAAACCATCATTCTCAGCAAACTAATACAAGAACAGAAAACCAAACACCGCATGTTCTCATTCATAAGCGGGAGTCAAACAATGAGAACACATGGACACAGGGAGGGGAATATCACACACCAGGGCCTGTCAGGGGGTGGGGGGCTAGGGAAGGTAGAGCATTAGGAGAAATACCTAATGTAGATGGGTTGATGGGTGCAGCAAACCACCATGGCACATGTATACCTATGTAACAAACCTGCATGTTCTGTACATGTATCCCAGAACTTAAAGTATAATTTAAAAAAAAAAGTTTTTGTCTGTGTGGTTTATATGTATTAATATTCACTAGATTAGAAATAAAACTGAGAAATGGTTGTAACATGTGTTCATTCATTTAAAATAACTATAATAAACTCTTTATATTTTAACATTAATAATTATTTTCATGAAAAGTTAACTATATTTCCCCAACGCCCACAAAATGCAATGAGATTGGCATTGTTATATTTTTATAGATTTATTTACCGTCTGGCCTCAGAGAAGACGGCTAAGATCTCATATCTACTTCTGTATTCAGTCTGTTACTTATGTTGTTTTGGCTGAAGTACATAAAGAAAATCCAGTTTTACATAGATATATAGTTGAAAAAGGCAGAATCTTGCGGTCTCTCAAAAAGAAGCTAGGGACCCCCAGGAGTCCCCTGGCCACATTTTGACCTTGGCTCACTGCAACTTCTGCCTGCTGGGTTCAAATGATTCTTGTGCCTCAGTCACCCAAGTAGCTGGATTATAGGCACGCACCACCACATCTGGCTAATTTTTGTATTTTGACTAGAGACAGAGTTTTGCCATGTTGGCCAGGCTGGTCTTAAACTCTTGGCCTCAAGTGATTTGCCTGCCTTAGCCTCCCAAAGTGCTGAGATTGCAGGCATGAGCCACTGCAGCTGGCCTAAAAGTCACTGTCTTTTAGTTTGTTTTCAGTGAAAAAATTAGTATAAAAAATAAATTAGAAACAGACACTGTTACCCAGTATCTATATTTAATCACAGAAATATTTATTTCTTAACGCTTCCAACTCTGAAATCCCAGACATTCTTGACTATGTACTGTAGTTATAAATAATATGAAGGCTGGGCACAGTGGCTCATGCCAGTAATCCCAGCACTTTAAGAGGCCGTGACAGGTAGATTGCTTGAGCCCAAGAGTTCAAGACCAGCCTGGGCAACATAGTGAGGCCCCCCCACCCCAATCTCTACAAAAAACAAATAAATTAGTCAAGTGTGGCGGCATGCGTCTGTAGTCCCAGCTACTCAGGCAGCTGAGGTGGGAGGATCCCTTGAGCCTAGGAGGTCAAGGCACTGCACTCCACTTCGAAGGCTGAGGCAGTGGAACCGCTTGAACCCAGGAAACGGAGGTTGTAGTGGGCCGAGATTGCACCACGGCAATCCAGTTTGGTTGACACAGTGAGATCCTTATTCAAAAAGAAAAAAGGAAAGAAAGAAAATATGTATCCCTGCACTATAGGAAATAGGAAGTATTGTGTGAATTTTGTTTTGACATCTTTTTTCTTGGTCTTTCGAGGAACTATGTCATATGAATCATGATGACTGCTGGAAGCACACAGGAAGATAAAGAAAAGTGACTTGTTGCTCAATTGTTTCAAACCCAACTCTGAGTAGCAAACTGTGGCTCCCTAAACTAGCCCAGAGGGCTTGACTCTGACAAGGTTCTGGGTGTAGCCATAAGCCTGACCCTCAAAAATCTTACCTGAGATATTGACAGTCTCACCCTGAAAGCAGATCACAGATTGTGTTTATAATCTAGTGGTTTGCAGGATATGATGTACTACCTAAGACAGTGAATAGGGTGATGGAGTTTGGTGCTACTAGTCCTCAGATGCCAGAAAGGCTGAAGAAGCCTGCCATGAAACTAAGTTTCTGGCCAATGTTCCAGCCTAATCTCAGACCCTGGGAAAACAGGAGCACCCCTTCATCTCCTCCTGCAGGTAAGGATTCACCACATTCACCTTTGAAAGCCCCTCTTCCACCAACCATGGACACCTTTTGCAATCTCTAAAGGTTCTCTCCTTGAACGCCTGGTGCTTTTCCCTGTGCTTGTCCTATCTCACTCAGATCTATGATTTCCCTGATGATAGTCCCCCCATCTCAGCTGTCCTTCTCAGCCTCGCAATCCACTCTCATTCTTCACCTGAGTGTTCCAGCAAGATCACTGTTCCGTAGAAGCTCAACCTTCAAACTTGCAACACACATTTCCTGGGTCCTGCTTCATCTCTATCTGCTGTGCTCAGTCCTGGGGTAGGATCAGTGTTCCTGTCACTCCAGCTCCTTTTCCAGGGATATTTGCATCTTTAGTAGTAGGCTTCATTGGTGGTCCTTCTGTGGAATGTTACAAAGAGAAGGGAAAACACTCAAGTACTGTGAAGGGAAATGTTGGGGGCTGGTGAGAGATCACACGGACACCTCTCACTACTACCCCCAAAGCTACTTTAACCTATTCCTGTTAAGACAGAAGAGTTGGCCAGGTGTGGTGGCTCACACCTGTAATCCCAGTACTTTGGGAGGCTGAGGCAGGCAGATCACCTGAGGTTAGGAGTTTAAGACCAGCCTGGCCAACATGGTGAAACTGTCTCTACCAAAAATACAAAAAATTAGCCAGGCGTGGTGGCACGCACCTGTAATCTCAGCTACTTGGGAGGCTGAGGCAGGAGAATCACTTGAACTGGGGCAGACAGAGGTTGCAGTGAGTCGAGATCGTGCCACTACACTCCAACCTGGGTAACAGAGCAAGACTGTGTCTCAAACAAACAAATAAACAAAAACAAACAACAACAACAAAAATACACAAAAGGGTCATGCCCCAGAAAACTCAACTCTGGGTCTTTGATTTGGTATGAATTTCCCTACTTTCTTTGCCAGAAAGAAACCTGTGTTATTTTTTTCTAGCTTTATTTGAAGAAAAACTAATAGTCATCTCCATGCTTCAAGTGAGAATTTATGTAAAGCATGGCCTATAACATCTGGCATTGTTTCCTCCACGGCTGCTGACAGGGTCCAGAGAAAAGCACAGGCGCTTCAGGAGGGGGTTGCTTGCTGAGTGTCAACGTGTTTTTGCAACAATAACAAAATGATATTGTGCTTTTAACACTTGGTAGGAAAGGATACATTTCTTTCTGCCTCCTGGCAAATCACTGAATCTAGAGCAGTATCTGTCAGGCTGAACTTTTCCAATACACACTCACCTTTCCTTTGTGGTTTGCTTTTTCTTAATAATGATTCCATTCCAAAGTTTTCTTCTTACGTTTATGTCTCTCCCGGATGTTATGCAGCCATCCAATGCAAAGTACGACACTCCACTGAATCGCAGTAAGAATGGTGTTGATCCGCGTCTTCATTGCATCCACCAGCACATGGATGCCCAGACAGATTTCATATGGAGTAGAACTGACTGTGAGGTTTTCTGGAATGACTGATGGATTTGGCCTGTCATGCAAAGTTTTATAACCCCAGCTTATCTCCAGAGGAGGCCCCATGTGTCAGTCAAAGGCTGCAGAAGACACTCCGTTCTCAATTTTAGTGTCTCATAAAGAAGACTGGGCAAACACAGAGGAAAAGGTACTGTGTTTACTTTTAAAAAAATGTTAAAGTTGGCCAGGCGCGGTGGCTCACGCCTGTAATCCCAGCACTTTGGGAGGCTGAGGCGGGTGGATTACGAGGTCAAGAGATCGAGACCATCCTGGTCAACATGGTGAAACCCCGTCTCTACTAAAAATACAAAAAATTAGCTGGGCATGGTGGCGCGTGCCTGTAGTCTCAGCTACTCGGGAGGCTGAGGCAGGAGAATTGCCTGAACCCAGGAGGCAGAGGTTGCGGTGAGCCGAGATCGCGCCATTGCACTCCAGCTTGGGTAACAAGAGCGAAACTCCATCTCCAAAAAAAAAAAAAAAAAGAAATGTTAAAGTTGTTATAGTTATTGGATTGCATACATGGATTGAGCTGTGGATTAGGAATAATAGGACCTAATGATATAATAATGTGGTTTATTTTAAAATGTAAACACACACTCATATTTCATGGTGCAATAGAGGAAAATTTCTTCTGAAAGAGCAAATAAGCTGAGGAAAACCAGACTCACAAATTCCTGCACATTCCTAGCTTTATGATCCCACGGTCTTATTTGGTTAATGTTCACTTTCCACACTTGTCTACCAAAATAGCTTCCCAGTCCAAGTTAGTTACTGCAAAGTAAGGAGCTCAAGTGTCCCTCTCACACTTCACCGGATATTAATCGTTCAGAGCTCTTGCCCTCCCTTTCGCAATGTTCCTGATTTTCATACTTCCGATTGAGAAACTACCACACACACTGAGGATATCCTGCTTGGTCAGCAGCCTGGCTGTTCTAAGTGGCAGCTCTCAGGGGAATTGCCTCCAGTATTTCTCCAGAATGTTGCTCTGGGGGGCACTCCTGTGCCCTAGTAATTCTGGCGCTTGTCAGAGCCAGATCATTCTACTAACAATGGTCTTGAGCCAACATTTGTCATTCAAAGGTTGCTCTCTTATGGAATTGCCATGGCAAGGCAATCATTTCTTATTTAGAAACACTGGGCACTTTTAGATGGGCTTTCATGGTGATTATACAGTTTTACATTAAGTTATGCAGGAAAATATCTTTTAGGAGCCCCTGACACTCAATGAGGCACCCTCACATTGAACAGAAATAATTGCAAGTAGGAAGGTAATTTGAGGAAATGACAATCCCCCAGTGGGATCTGGTTTTGAACTGTGACGTCTTATAGCATTTCATTATTGTTTTGTCAGTGCCAGGAAATCTGATCTGGGAGAAACATTGCCACTTCTTCTAAGGCTCACATCGTTAAAGTTTATTTCTTTATTTGAGGGAGGGAGCTTGTTCCAAATTGGAGAAAACCATGGGAAGAGTTTGTAGGACTTAAATTCCAACTCTGTTGATGTCTCAGTTATTTATTACTGTATAACAAACTACCCTGAAATTTAGTGGCTTAAAACAAAAACCATTTTATTGTTCGTGATTCCGTGGGTCAGGAATTCAGACAGGGCTCAGTAGGGATGGTTCACCTCTGCTCCACATGGTATTGCCTGGAGCTGGAAGATCCAAGATGACCTCACTCACAGGCTTAGGCATTGGTGCTGGCTGATGGCAAGGATAGCTCACTTCTCCTCCAAGGACCTCTCTCTTTTCTCTCTCTCTTTATCTCTCCCTCTACTCCCCTGCCCCACCCTTCACTCTTGTTCTCACTCTCTCTCTGTGGTGTCTCATTATTCGGTAGTTGTTTTTACATCAAGGTAGCTGGCACACCAAAGGAACTGGAAACTCTCTCGAGGATCAGAAATCAGTGTCACTTCTCCCACATTCTACTGACCTGACCAAAGTAAATCTCAGGATCAACTTAGAATCATGCAGAGAAGAAAGATTCCACTTCTTGGCTGAAAGAGCTGCACAGTACACAGGGATTGCTGGTGGCCATTTTTGCAGAAAAGCTACTATAGTGGCTGACTCCTAGCTAGGTGTTTCTAAATTCCTTCACTGGACCAATTAATATTAGCCAATGGCCTTAAAGAAATAGAGTTATCTTATTTGGTAGACTGCCAAATGCCATGTACACTGTGTGTAAGATGCACATTGTTTTATGCATTGTTTTAAAAGAAAGCCACCATATAAAACGGGACATGATATCAATTGTTAAGATCAACTTCAGAGACACTAAATGATGGAGGAAATGTGCATGTTAGAATTAATAAAAAATAGTAATAATCTAATATAACTCAACAGAACTTTAAAATGAATGGATAAAAATCTGAGGTGTAAAATTAAGTCACTCTTTTGATCACTGAGTCTATTAATTATCAACTTACATAGATCTTATCCTGACAAAGGTGCTGATGATCTGGACTACTGTCTAGCAGAACAGGGCCTTAAGGAAACATTATTTACACCCCCATCCCCTCATCAAACTATGAGAAAAAGCCACCCATGGGAATAAGGATAAAAATTTAATATCTGCAGCTCAAATAGCAAAGCTGCACTTTATTGGGAAGTTGGTCCCTACTTTTGGTTGCTAATAATTAATATTATTATTATTGTTATTTTTTGAGACAGAGTCTCTCTCTGTCACCCAGGCTGGGTGCAGTGGCACAATCAGGGCTCCATGAAGTCTCTATCTCCTTGCTCAAGCAATTCCACCACTCATCTCAACCAATATACCTTCACCCTTTGCTGGTTCTTTTAATTCACTCACTATATGATTTTCACCATCGAATAAGGTCTCAGTGCTTTCACAATGGCTTCCTAGTTGATAGGGTTTCCAGAAATATACTAAATCATAAAAGCAGGAATTATCCTATTTCCAAATGTAACTAATGCTTATTGGGTTCCTATCATGTGCCATAATATGTACTAGATGCTGGCAATACAATGGTCAAAAAGACAGATGTGGAGACTACCCTCTTATATCTTATAGTCTGATGAGGGAAGTAAGCAATGAATATGTAAAATGAACATTTTAAAGAGTGAGAGATCCTGCAAGTGTCTGGGGGGAAATAAAGAAGGTGATGAGAGATAATAAGAGGAGGCTCCTTTAGACAGGAGCAGTCACCGAAGGCATCTGAAGAAAGGATGTCGAAGCATAGACCCAGGGATTAAAAAGAATCAGCCATGCAAAAAGCAGCAGAAGGTGCTTGAATTAGTCCATTTTCAGGCTGCTGATAAAGACATACCTGAGAATGGTCAATTTACAAAAGAAAGAGGTTTAGCTGGACTTACAATTCCATGTGGCTGGGGAAGCCTCACAATCATGGTAGAAGGCAAGAAGGAGCAAGTCTCGTCTTGCATGGATGGCAGCAAGCACAAGAGATAATGAGGAAGACACAAAAGCAGACAGCCATGATAAAAACCATCAGATCTCATGAGACTTATTCCCTACCACGAGAACAGTATAGGGGAGACTGCCCTCATGATTCAATTATCTCCCACTGGATCTCTTCCACAACATGTGGGAATTATGGGAGTACAATTCAAGATGAGATTTGGGTGGGGACACATAGCCAAATAGCCAAACCATATCAGTGCTCTAGACCAGGCAGAGGATACGATAAGAACAAAGGTGCTGAGATAAGAAAGATCTTGGCACATTTTTAGAAATTAAAGTAGATTAGCTTCACTGGAGTGCAATGAGCAAATTCCTCCAGAAAACCATTGAACACACCTGTTTAAATATCTGCAAAGCAAAGCAACCACAACAGAAACCAACTAGATCAAGAATTTTCCAAGTCTATCAACATCTCTAGGAGGAAAAAAATGGGTCCTATAGTGGGTTTTCTAAACCATCTTCCTAGCCAGATGTCAAGAATGTTTCTTGGGTTTATAGGAGTTCATTCATTAAGTCAGTGTTTCTTAAACAGGAATAATGAAGTAACCCTTTAAATGGAAAAATACTATAAATCATTAGTGTTGACAAATCATTTTAATTCTGTTTATTTAAGATAAATGAAATATAAATGCCATATATGCATAGCTCTTATGCAAATATAAGACTAAATCAAATGGATAAATTACATACAAACTAAACTACGAAACTAATAAAATTATCAATATTAATTCAGACTAATGGTTGATATTATTTGCTGCCACTAATGCTCATGCTTGGTTTAACAGTAGAAAATATACTGATGTATTTAGTTTTGCTTGTTGCAAATCTTGGCCATTGGAACTATTATTATTATTCTGAGACAAGGTCTCTCTCTGTCACCCAAGCTGGGTGCAGTGGCACAATCAGGGCTCAATGAAGTCTCTATCTCTTCGGCTCCAGCGGTTCTCCCACCTCAACCTCCCAAGTAGCTAGGACCACAGGCACATGCCACCATGCTGGGATAATTTTTTAAAAATTTTTTATAGAGATGGAGTCTCACTCTGTTGCCCAGGCTGGTTTGGAACTGCTGGGCTCAAGCAATCTTCCCACCTCAGCCTCCAAAAGTTCTGGGATTACAGGCATGAGCCACCACACGCAGCACTGGAACCATTATTGTTACTGTAATTATTTTCTTTTTAGAAAATAAAGCTTTCTTAAAACAATAGATCCATTACCTTGAAAGGCTAATTAGCACACTCCAAAATACAATACTGAAATTTAACAATGGTGTTTAACAAAAAAATTCTTTGTTTTTCACTATGGCATTTACTGCTAGTTGACCATTGCTAATTTGTGTATACGAAGACAGGATTTCACAACAAAACCACTGACTGAATTTATACTTCTGGACAGCTCTGCAGTCTTTTTGACTTCATGTGGAGATGTTCCCAGCCATTCATTCTCCCACTGCCTTTCTCTACCCAAAGACCACAAAACCTCAGCATGTACATTGTAATAGAATGTGGGCTTCCTTGGTATTAACATGACCATATGTTCAAAGCAAGTGCCTTGCAAAAACTTTATGGGGGACTTCAGTAAAAGGAGGTGGTCAAGATGTTGCCGAAAAAGGGGTCCCCATCTAGATGCCAGGAGAGGGCTCTTGGATATTGCACAGAAAAGAATTCAGGGTGAATCCCAGCGCACAGTGAAAGAAGCAAGTCTATTAGAAACTACTCGTTATAGAGTAGGGCATTCTCAGAAATCAGGAGGAAGAATGTGGCATTCTTTGTTAGTGCCTCTACTTATAAGAAACTATAAGGAGTTATAATTAAACGTAGAATGTATAGATGTGCTCACTGAAGGTGGGGCTATTGGTGCTATCAATGACCATTAATCCTTCAACCTAAGCTTACCCATTAACATTACATTTAAGTAAAGTGGGCTGCGCTCTTAGGACATCTGGACATTCTGCTGGCTTGGTGGGAGCTGTTCTGTGTGGCCATAAATATTCTGCAATTATCAGGGCAGTCAGCTTAGAATGCAGCTATTGGCAGACCATAAGCATTCACTGTATAGGGGCTTTCTGAGGGCCTAGCTCCGTGCTTTAAGATGGAGCCACTGTAGTCACATTTTATTAAACTAAAGGCCTAGTAATCAGAGGCTCTTCTAATGCAGGGGTTCTAGAATGTATTTTTATTACTTTAATAGTATAATAAATAGGAAAACACATTTTAAATTTTTATAGATTTAATAGACTCTAGGGATATGTCAGAAGGCTCCAGGTTGAGAAATGGTGCACACATGAATATTCAGGTCATCTGAACTGTTGTACAGCCTCAATAACAATCAACCCAATGTGAGTACAGCAGATTAGTGCATCATGGAGCCAGGGACATCTATCTGGTTTAGAAAGAACGTGAATAAGGAAATGTAATATATATATATATGGTAGCTAATAACAATGATCAACACTTGTCTACAGTAGCTGCTTAACACAGGCATTGTGTTAAGCAATTGATAAATATTAAGTATGATTAAAATATGTAGTTCATTTATTAGCTACCACAGACATATCCAACAGAATAATATAATTCCAACTAGATCACTTAAAGAAAACTCACAGGAAGGCAATTTGTTTCTAAGTTAACATTAGGTATAATGCTCCAAACAGAGAGGAGGAATTTGTCACAGAGCAAAAGGGGTTGCTGAGTGCAGAGGCCAATAACCATGGCACTGGTTTTTGAGAAAAGAGGCTTATTGCAAAACCTGCCAGCAAAAAGACAAGAGTTGGGTTCAAATCTGTCTCCTTGGTTTTGGGTCTGGGGTGAGTTTATGGGCCTGAGGGCAAGGAAAGGATCTGGGAATGTTGGCTTGGTCTGATTAGAGGGCTTCAAATTTTGCCATTTACGGTAAGGTACGTTGAGGCGGACTTTAGCCCCAGATCTTCCAGGCCAATGGACGCCTCCCTCTGAAAGCATACCAGTGTTCATGTTCCAGTCATGGCCCAGTCCGCTTGGTCCTAAGAGGAGGAATCACTGGTTCTGGGTATTGTTAGAGGTCAAAGGTTTTTCTATTGCACACCTCCCGGTTATATGACCTGCGGCTTTTTGACTCTGTTATACCTACAAGGTAAATTGACACTTTGTTATCAACAGAGTAGGCCCAGTTTGGGCTGGTCCCACAATTACAGAATTCCCTTCCCAATTTCCAGACCCAATCTCTCCTTGACTTCCAGACTGAATATCAATACACATTTCAAATTTACAACATCAGTGATACAGGTTGTCCAAAGATGGTTGTCAACAACTCTTTCCCTCCCTGCTTCTCCTATCAGGCAGTGAAGCCTTACTCCCCTTCCCTTGAATAGCGTCTGGCTTTAGTGACTTGCTTGATCAATAAAATACAGTAGAAATCGCTTTGTGCACTTGTTAGACTAGGTCATAGGAATGTTCGGAACTTCCACCTGGCTTTCTTGGAATGCAACTGTTTGGGACACTCCCTCTTGGAACTCAGCCACCTCTCTGTAAGAAAGCTAAGCGATATGTGTTGCCACTGTCATGGACGGCCCTTGCTCAGCTCCCAGCAGAAGACCAGGCGTAACAAGAGCCATATAAGTGAGCCCAGATGTCTCACTGTAACTGCAAGAGAAAAACAGAGAATCACCTTGCTAAGTCCAGTCAACCTACAGAATCATCAAACATAATGAATTGCAGATTTAAGTCACTGGATGGTTTTTTACATAGGTAACAATAGGGCACTGTAAGAGTGACCCAATCAAATCTTTCACTTCCCCTCACGAAACTGGCTCCTCACTCTGTGTATGCCACCTTAGGAAAAAACTTCAGCTTAATCAGGTCAAAAATCTTAAAGTCATCTTTGATCTTTTCTTTTATTCAAATGTCACATCCACTCCATTAGCAAATCCTTTTGGCCCAATCTCCCAGTCATATCCCGAAGTTCTCCATTTATTGCTTCTTGCGTGACCCCACCATCTTGGCCCTCCTGGAAACTCATGCAGTGACTGAGGATGTACAACCAACCAGGACAGACCCAGAGAAATGAATGGGAGAGCTCTCAAACTCCAGCTGGTACAAGGATTCACATTCCTTTCAAATTCGTCCTTTGCTCTGCACATACTTGGACTTTAATGGTGTGTTACAGGGATGAAGTTGTTTGCAGTAAACATGGATGCTCCAACAGAACCTGCCCAAGTCTCTGATGGAAGCCAAAGTTTCCACACAGGGATGTCCCTCAAATCTCTGAGACAGACACATGCTAACCAAGACTGCTTTGGCCACATACCACTGGGACTCTGTGTTGGAGTCAAACAGTTATAACCCTGTAAGTATTTTAAAGCATTTCAAAACTCTAAAGGGCAGTGTATATCTATATTTACCCAGCACAATGAAGGCAAAAACCACACTCGTGAATATTTTTAGCATTTGGGGCTGTCAGAAGAGCTAGGCCCTTGACTAAATATATCTAGAGAGTTTCTCTACATTACTAGCAGGGTTTGTTTTCTATTCCTATTTCCTTCAAACAGCAGTCATATTGAAGGAAATAAGCACTGTAATAATAAATACCTATTTCTGCATCATAAATTATTATGGAAATTTTTCCTATGTTTATTTTCTCTAGAATTCCTAAGTTCCTATAAATCATGCTCCTAATACGAATTTTCATTGGTAGGATCTTCTACGAAGATCCAGAGAAGTGAACCACCAGCTAACAGAAGAAGTAGATGCAATTTCTTACAACCATTAAGTTCTCTTTATACTTCATACATGTGTTAGCTAATTGACCTCTCTAAACTCTGATCTATCACTATCTTTTTCAAGAAGAATGAGAATCATCTAAGGTACCTCAGTGATTAATTACAAATGACAATATTTAGCATACATTAAATTCTCAGTGTGATAAGTGTTTTACATGCAATATATCACTGAATTCTCAAAACAACTTTGTCAGGTAAATCCTATTATTATTATTATAGAGAAAAAATAAACTTTTTCTGTATGTTCACATTCAACAGACTTCTGTGGGGTTTTTCCCCCATACAATCAACTCTCCTGTGGGACATCAACTGGATATCCTACAGTTCCATTCAATTCTGATTTCAACCAGAGTTAGCATAGACCTCACCAGTGAATGACTGAATCCCACAAGACTGCCCCCCATTTCAGATGCCAATCACAAGTCCTAGGTGTCACCTGTACTTCTGATAGACTGGCTGTAAATCAGAGTTCCCACAATGCCCTCCTCAGGTTTGATCGTTTGCTAGGATGGGTCACAGAACTCAGAGGAACACTAACTTACCATCACCAGTTTATTGTGTTAAAAAGATATGATAAAGGATATAGATGAATAGCCAGATGAAGAAACACAGAGGGCGAGGTCCAAAAGGGGCTGGGTGCACGAGCTTCTGTCCTTGTAGAATTGAAATGCATCACCCTTCCAGTTTGTGGGTCTGCTACCCAACCCAGAAGCTCTCTGAACCTATAGTTCAGGGATTTTTATGTAGGAATGGCCAATTAGTAACTCAATCTCCAGCCCCTCTTTCCTCACTGAAGGATAGAAAATGGGGCTGAAAATTCCAACTTTCTCATCCTGGCATAATCTTTCTGGTGACCAATCCCCTTCTAGGAGT